TTTATAAACATTTTATCAGACTGACTGGTTTTTTTTTACTTCTCAAAGGAACCAAGTACTTAACCAGATATTTTTAATGTTACACAAAATTAAACAAATTTTTATTTCGATTTGAGGTTATAAATTTTGACATTTTTGTATCATGAGAAATGAAAACATAATTTTAATCCGATTTTAGAAAGAGATAACTATCATAAATGTCACTATTAGAAAAAGATAACGATCAACTGTCTAGTGTTACCGTATCACAGATTCTTTAGTGATCAATAGAAATAGGCGCTTCATTATGACGCGGTTAATGGCGCAAAAATGGAGCGTTTTAAATAATTGATTTAAAAGTGAACTTTTTAAAGTACTATAACTTTATTATTTATTTAAAGAATTTATTGCATGAAAAAAAACCCAAAATCGAAAAGGAACTTGAACGTTTGGTTCAAAATAAAGTATTAGTTCCTGTGGAATTTTCCGATTGGGCAACGCCTATAGTTCCGATATTAAAATCTAACGGAAAGTTACGCATTTGCGGAGATTTTAAGGTAACTATAAATCCATATCTCGTGGTTCAACAGTATCCTATACCCCGAGTAGAATATTTATTTTCACAGTTGCACGGGGGTGACAAATTTTCGAAAATAGATCTATCTGAAGCTTATCAGCAAGTTCTGTTGACTGAAGATTCTAGAAAATTAGTCAACATCTCAACACAAAGGTTTATTTTCATATACCCGTCTTCCATACGGCATTACTAGTGCACCAAGCATTTTCCAACAAATTATGGAACAAATGTTTGTTAAGTTACCGGGTGTCGTTTGTTGTATGGATGATATTTTGATAACGGGTGGGGACGATCGCGAACATATAAAAAACTTAGAAAAAGTCTTGTCAAGATTACAGGAATCAGGCTTAAAGGTTAAAAAAGAAAACTGTGCTCTTTTTCAAAATAGTGTAAAGTACCTAGGACACATTATTGATAAATATGGTTTAAGAACTACAAATGAAAGGGTGGAAGCAATAATAAATTCACCAATTCAATCTACAGTTACTCAATTAAAATCTTTTCTTGGAATGGTCAATTTTTATTGTAAATTCATTCCAAATGCTTCAGATATTTTGCAACCTTTGTATAATTTATTAAATAAAAATACGCAATGGATTTGGGACGAAAACTGCAAATTAAGTTTTGATAAAGTTAAAAACATTTTAATGTCTTCCAAGGTACTCACACATTTAAATCCAGAGAAACCTGTCAAATTAACAGTTGACGCAAGTAATTACGCCGTAGGTGCTTATATTAGCCACATTTTACCTGATAGGTCCGAGAGACCCATAGCATTTGCTTCACGATTGTTGAATTCAGCAGAGATTAAATATAGTTAAATCGAAAAAGAAGCTTTGGCAATAATTTTTGGGGTTCAAAAGTTTTTTCAATATTTGTATGGCAGAAAATTTATATTGTTCACTGACCATAAACCCCTGTTAAGTATATTTAATCCTAAAAAAGGTATACCAGTTTTTGCTGCAAACCGACTGCAGAGATGGGCGCATATTCTCTCGGCATTTGATTATGATATACACTTTGTCAAATCAAGTAACAACTATGCAGATTTTTTGTCACGTCTTCCGGATACCCGTACAAATATTTCACATTCGGAAAAGGACAAAAAAATGTCGTACCTTTATTATAGTAATCATTCCGATAAAATTTCATATTTAAATTATATCTTAGAGTCAAATTTTCCTTTAGATTTTACCGAAATAAAAAAAGCTACAGAAAAAGATCCTATTTTAAGTAAAATAATATTTTACGTTACTAACGGGTGGCCCTCATAATGTCAAATTGCTGAATATCAACCTTTTTTTATAAAAAGAATGAGTTGTCTATTGAACAAAATTGTTTACTTTGGGGCTACAGATTAGTCTAAGTTTAGACCTGTTATTTTAGACGAAATACACGCGGCTCATATGGGAATCGTAAAAATGAAAGCACTAGCACGTTCATACGTATGGTGGCCGTCCATCGATAGAGACATTGAGTTTTTAACAATGAAATACAAAATATGCGCGAAATTCTCAGATTCCCCTCCTAAAACTCCTCTAACAGTTTGGAATTGGCCAGTGTGGACTAGGCTTCACGCAGATTTTTTCGGACCTTGTTGTGGCACGAATTTTTTAGTTATCGAAGATGCTACTTCCAAATGGTTAGAATGTTTTGAAGTTAGAAACATGACTGCTAGTAATACAATTAAAATTTTCAGAAGTTTATTTGCCAGATACGGCTTGCCAAAACAAATATGTACAGACAATGCCGCAACTTTTACCTCAGATGAATTTCAACAATTTTTGAAAAATAGTGGTGTTATGCACATAACTGGTGCACCATACCATCCGGAAACTAACGGTCAAGCAGAAAGCGCAGTAAAAATTTAAAAAAAGGCAATATTGAAAGGTTACGAAGAGGGTATTCACGATATAAATTTAATTATTAATCGTTTTATTTTCCAATATCGGAACACTCCTCACACAACTGCAAGAGAAAAACCTTCCAAATTGCTTATAGGGAGAAGTTTACCTTCGAAATTCGATCTTTTGTTACCTTCAGTCAAAAATGTTGTTGATAAAAATCAAGAAAAACAAAAGACAAATTACGGAGGTAGGTCTAAAAGACATTTTAATATTAAGGACGAAGTTTGGGCCAAAGATTATAGGCCAAATACGGCACAATGGTGTGAAGGAAAAATTAAGAAAATTTTGGGTAAACAAACTTATTTGGTAAATATTTGTAAAAGCGGAGTGGTATGGAAAAGACACGCAAATCAACTAAAATTTAAAATCGAAGATATATCGAAAAATACTTCTGTCAATGTCCAAACCATTCAGCTTCCTAATATGGATAAAACTTGTACAGAACAAAATTCTTCTTTAAATTCCAGGCCAAGTGAATCACATGTCGAAAATTCGATAAGCGAAAATTCGGTAGAAAAACACCCAGAAATATGTGAAAATTCAAATTTGCAAAGTGTAAGTGCGCGAAGTGAAACCTCAGATACGCAAGATGATAATAACGAAAGAGTTTTGCGCAGGCGTAATCAAATTAAACCGCCAGAGAGATTTACATCTGTATAATTTTGAATGTTACAAATAATAATAATAATTGTAAGTAATTTTAAGGTTAATTTTTTTAGGGGAGAGGCGTTATATACGGGCTCTGCGGCCTGACGCCGACCCTGTTGAATATTTCTTGGTATGGGTTTTTATATGGACTTCGCTATAAATCTGTATCGGCGAAGTTGACACATATGACTGAAAGGCCAGTGGGAATTCGGTAGTTGAAGAATAAATATTATAATTATTACAGAAGGTGTTTTATTCATTAACTGCCCTAAGACAGAGCAGAACAAAGACAATGTTTTGTAACAGCTCGGACCCTTCAAACCCAGCTTCGGGATGCTGATGGTTTAGAAGTTTGTACAGATTAGCGACTAAGGGAACATAATTTGAGGCCTAGGATAGCTGCTCGAGGTCCAGCTCTAACTAGAGTTCATCACAGGGCAAGGCTAAATTTTGCTAGAGAGCATCGTAACTGGTTAGAGGCTGAATGGTAACAGGTATTATTTACTGATGAGTCTTGATTTTGTCCGTATAACAATAACAGACGTATGCGCGTATACCGACGCCCTAATGAATGGTATGCTCAGTGTAATTTCTCACATACAACATTATTTGGAGAATTTGTAATCCTAAATGGAAGCCTTACAGCTGACAGGTACATATTGGAGATTTTAGACGAACATTTAGTTCCATTTGCATCATATATAGGTGCAATATATTTAACCCTAATTTGAGGGTGATTGCAACTAATTATGGTCTATGAATTAAACACAATATGTTGATTCTACAACCATTTAATTCCAACTGGTATTTTAACTGCGGTACAAAATATAAAAATGTCTCTACAAGATAAGAAATTAAATTTACAGGGTGTAACAATTTGAACCTATAAAATAATATGAAATAATTATATTAGATATTCCACAATAGGGCAAGGATTTTTGTTGATGCAAGATAATGCCAGGCCTCATGTTGCTCGAGTTGTGGGAAGTCGGTATCGCTATCATGGCATGGGCAGCTCGGAGCCCGGATTTTAATCCGATAGAAAATCTCTGGGATACTCTTGAGAAGAGATTACAAGAGGAACGTAATCTGAACTCTCTGGAAGATATACGGCAGAGACTGATTCAAATATGGAAAGAATTGGACCAAAATGACATAAGGTCTCCTATTTTAAGTATGGGCCACCGTTGTCAAGAAGTTATTTATGCCAGAGGCGGAAATACTCGCTACTGACACTTTCGTCTAACTTATTTCGTTAAATTTTGTTTCGTGTTTTCATTGTTAAATTTTGATATTAATTTTTAATAAAATCATTTTATAAAATAGTGTTTCTCGTATAATGCCAAAGATAATGGAGTGAATAAAAAAGAAATTGTTAAGAAAAGATAAGGCTACATTGTGAGATCAATTCTAACTTGGTAATGTAACTGTTGCACTCTACAGGGTGTTACAACTTTTATGAAAAAATCACGCTATAATTGATACACCCTGTATTAATAAAAAAGAGGGTTTTATGCAAATACAGTTAGCACACACACCAACGTTGTGGAAGAGACAACCTGTCATTAAAAAAAAAAAAAAAAAAACGTCCAAATCAGACAAGTGGTTTTGACAAATATTTACTTTAAACTTTTTGTTATTTTTTGATGGTGCGTTAATTTATTGGGGAAGTGTATATATTCGATGAATTGATGTTTAGTGCATATGTTCTTTCGTTCGAATGTGTTTTCGAGCAAATATTTTTTTCGAGAAAATACATTTTCGAAGTAATGTTTTTTCGAGAAAAAATTTCGAGCAAAATTTCGTAATCTACCTAAATATCTGTTATAATCTTCGGTCGCTAATTTGGCATGTTTCAAAATTTTACTAAAACGAAATATTTATTTCAGGCTATAGTAGACCAAAGAGAAACCCCCTCGAAATCCAAACACGATGAATCGGGCGAGTCGTTGCCCGAAACCGAGGGATGACAAATTTTTTTTGAGAAAACCGACTGATTTTTCACAATTTTTAATCTATTTTCGTATTTAAATCTCTTCTAAGAGAGACTCAAACAGAAAAGAGAGAGAGAAAGAGGCGTTCGAAAATTATCATTTTTTTTTTTAAATTTTGTTTTAACAAAATACTATGAAATCGAACTTGAGCTGCTCTAATTAGACCAATTAACGCATGGCGATTTTTACTTTCTATATTTTCGTTGTCTTTTTTAATTTGTAATGTCTACGCCAAAATTGACTTTTATACTATTACTTTCGTAATTTTTTTGTTTTATTTTCGACATTTTTAAACTATATCATAGTCGTACGTCAACGTAAACTTCAATTGTTATATATCAAACTTTACTTCAATTATCATAAATCAAGGTAAACGTACAACTGCTCCACTTGTAACATTTTAAAACGGGGATATCTCCTATTTTTAAACACTTTATTTATAATTTCTAAAATGGTCTAACTGGCGAGCTCGACGATTCGCATGTCCTGTCACTTTTTTGTAAAAGAATTGCTTTAAAATTTAGTGGTTAATTAATTACAATAATAAACGTGTATAAAAGAATTTTTATATGATCCTCAATATTTGAGAAAAAAAAAAAATTAAACAAAAGCATTTTTGGACAGTTTCGAGATAAAACTATCTATTTATCCGTTGAATTGATTGTTAATATATATATATTTTTTCTATGTTGTGATTTAATTTTTTGATTGATTTAAGACCAAAAAAGCGTGTTAACAATGGAATATTAAATTTCTGGATTTGTGATTATTATGTAAAACAAAATACTATTATATGTTGTTATGGCTGAATTATACTGTTGTCATCATTTTGATTTTCAAATCATTTTTATTAAATGTATATAATTAGAAAGTACTTTTTATTTTTCTCTTGTATTTTAGATTTCAGAAACTAGAGGTGCTGCCATCTCTATAAAAAAGTTGAACGTACCATACCTCCCGATCTATGGATCTACCTCTCACAAATAGATTCGGACCCTTTAATAGAGGAAGCTATAAAAAACAGACACAGTTTATTTTCAAGATAAAGCAATTTTTGTATCATACAGAACCGAAAAAGGGCCACAAAATATTTTGGTATTTAGTGTTTCATTGGCAAACGGAAAAACGGTAACTGGATAGGGGACACCCAGCTGGAGTTTAGTGAAATAAGTTCGAAGAAAATGAGGAAAGATTGAACCAAAAAAAAAAAGATCGAAATTAAAACAAATGATCGAAATCGCATATGATAGAAATTACAAGTGATCGAAATCATGTTTGAAAGTACTAATGATTGAAATGATATATAATCGAAATGGTATACGAATGAAATTTCCGTTGCACGTCATTAATGATGAAAATTGTTTATTAAACTGAACAAATAGTCATATATGTTGATTTTCAAAATTGAAGTGGGCAATTGGTATACTTAACGGACAGTTGCCAAATCAATATTTCTTTTTATGACGTGTATAATTGAACTGTCAACAGTATTATTTTTGTGTTTAATAAACAAATAATTTTTTTTTTAATGCCTACGCATTTAAATGGAGTTGCGAAAGAGGTCTCTAATAAGATATTTTGAAGAAGAACGAGATAATGGTGGTCCTTTATTACCAATAAATGCAGTCAGAGAGCGTGTGGCAGCGGCGTTGAATTTGAATATTCTCAGGCTTTAAAGAATAACCATATTTTAAATTCTCGTCCAAAGAATCGAAATTTTTAATCTGACTACATTAGTGATGTTATTTACGATATGAATAAAAAGAAACAAGTAACTCTTGCGAAATTACATGAAACTTTACCGCCAAGAGAAATGTTTACGGACTGCAAAATATCATTGTATACAGTGTTAACCAATATAGGATTTAAATGAAAGAAAGATGATCCCGGAGGGGTCTTATGGAACTTCCTCATATTGCCAGTAAAAGATTTAGTAAAAAAAATCTGTCTCTATATAAATTTGTTTATCTGGATGAACCATGGATTTTTCACAGTGGCACAGTAAACCGCTCTTGGCAAAATAACGATAAAATGAGCGTAAATATTTTAAGAGTTGATGGAAAAAGATTCATTGTTCTTCATGCTAGTAACGAAAATGGTTTTATTGATGGGACAGAACTGGTGTTTTCCTTTACTAGTAACAATCCCGACTATCATGAGGAAATGAATGAAGCAAATTTTTTAAAATGGTTCGAAAATCAATTACTTATTAATTTTACTGACCCTTTAACGATTGTTATAGACAATGCTTCCTATCACAGCACGTTACTTTTTAAAACGCACAATAATTCCTGGACAAAACTTGAAATTCAGGATTGGCTGACGACACACAACATTTAATTTGATCAGCATATATAAACAAGATTTATTAAACACAGTTTTCAGAAATTAACGACCAAAAATGTATAAAGTAGATCAACTTGCAGAACAATATGGTCACACAGTTATTCGGTTATTTCCTTATCATTGTAAATTCAAAATTGTTTAAGTATGTGGAGGAAAGCACTCAGACTGTAACACCCCAAATCTGGTCTAATTGTATCAATCATAATGAAAAAATTATTCAGAAATGTGACCGGTGAAGTTATATTTGAACGGGAGGATAGTACCTGTAATTATTAATTTTTGATGATAACAATAGTGATTCTTGTTCTGAATAAAGCTTTATTTGTTTATTTTTATTTCATTTATTTATATTTCAAGAACTACTTCCAAAAGCTTCTAAAATTGTATATATAGGTTTAATGAATTAATTATTTAAAGTGTCAAAAGATGGAGTTCAAATTAAACATTACTTTTCATAAAATATTTCTTGAGATCCTCGAATTTTGTAGCAACGTGGCAACATCTACTTTCATGAGTGTATGACGTGCATTGGAAATTTTATTGCATTTACTATATTACGAAATAGGTAAATTAAATAATTTTTATTTTATTTATAATTTTTGTATAAAGCAACCCGCGATGGCTCCAGGCCCCATAGGTTAGATAAATTAGTTATTTTTTTTATTTTCCTTAATTGACGTAAACATTTTTCTGTTCAGTAACCGCGATGGCTTCAGGCCGCACAGGTTAGGAAATTTTTTTTAAATTAGAATTCTAGGAAAATATTTCTATTTTCATTAATTTATTAGAGTACTTCCAGTGTGGTAAAACTATCAGGTACTTTACCGTCTCAGTTCATGTCCGTTCCATTTGTTTAGTGTCAAGCAGTGGCGGCTCGTGGGCACTAGCGGCAGTGGGGCACAACTGGAAAGGAATTCCGCGATTCGTTTTTCCCTTAGGAAAACAAGTTCTCCGCTTAATGAAAATTAAATATATTTCAAAATAAATTAAATATTACAAAATTGAAGACTTACCCAAACAGCACAGTACGTCTTAAGTACGTACAGTTTTGGTACTGTACGTACAGGACGTAAAATGTACGTTTTAAGTACGTACACAACAGTACGTACAGAAAAGTACGTACTAAGTACGTACCTAAGGGTACGTAATCCTGGTTGCATACCTATTTTATTAAAAAACCTATGTTTTTGACCGTAGGCCAAAAAATGCAAAAAAAAAAGACGAAACCCAATTTATTTAACCTAACCTAAACTCTAAACTAAACTCGCTCGTTTTTGTTAGTTTTTCATGTTTAGCATTTAACTATTAAGTGTTTCGTTAAATAAATAGTTGTGTATAATTTATTATAATTGAACAAGACAATTATTTAGACTTTTTAGTGCGTGTTATAAGTAAGTAGTTTCGTCATTTTATTCTGGTGAGTGGTTTCATTTTAATTTAAAAAAATTATGTGTAATAAATATAATTTATAGATATGTCATCCCATCCCATAGTAAACATTACAAAAATGCTACAAAACAATTAAAAAAGTTTAAGGAAATGAATAAACAGGAAGTATCTAATATTTTAGACAAAAGAAGTGATATTTTACAGACCCTAATAATTTAATTTTGGATTTTGTCAAAAGTACTATTGCTGGTGCCTTAAGGCCAAGTTCAATTTTGTTTGACATATCATCACGATTTTTTTTAGGTTAGAAAATTGCATTATCGATTTTTTTCATTCGAAGTAATAAAAGACGTCACTTTAAATTTCTATCTCTTTTTGTCAACAAATTTCTAACACGATGAATTTATAAAACGTATGTCACTAATGAATATGTGGCGGCAACTGACGGCAACACTGTCAGCTACTCCATGGCTACTAGAGTACATACAGGTCCGGTATAAGCCATGGAAAATAATAATTTAATGTTTTGATCGAGTTAAATAAAATATCAAAATTAAATGTATACGTCTTCAATCAAAAATAATATAGGCTAATACTCAAGTGTATTATACGAGTGTACTGGACAAGAGATAATTTTACCCTTTACTCCAGTTTTTTGTAATGAAACCAGTGGTAAAATAGATATTTGTGTACCAAGGCTGTATTTTGGCCGAATTAGACATATGCGTTCAAGTCTAAGCTAGTTCTGGTTAAGTATAAGAGTAATAGGCAAGAAACGGGTGTTCAATCAAACTTGACATCGAGATAGATGTCACATAAGCAGGTGTACTGAAGATGAACTTTGCAGGACCAAGCATCAGATAGGTATAACACTTGATATTCTGAAAACTATGTGAATACTACACTGAATAAGAACGAATGGAAGTGTCAGAAGGAGGCTAAAGGCAAAAAATAGACAGAACAGAGCCTAATAGATAGATAAGTCATATTTTAGCCAGGAGAGAGTCGATGAGTGTTATAAATATAGTTATTTATGAATGTATTTTTAATGTATAATTTCAGTTTATTTTCATTTTTGGTATAAAACTATGGCTGACATAATAAAACTCTTAAAAGTATATATATTTTCAATCTTTATTACTATACATTATTTAGTATTCATTTATTCTCTCTGACCTAGGGAAAAGGTCAAAAAACCCTGGTCATAATTGTTTACAATGTTGCGTGTTCCTAATGATACAAAACATTACAGAGGAATGATACTTAGCCGATGAAATCTCATCGAGTTCACGCATGACATTGTGGTATGGAATATGGCTATCTCTGATGCATCTGCAGATTTAAATTTATTTTTGCGTACTGTTTTCTATCAACTGATACCCCAAATTTATACAAGCCACGTCTTCGCACCACAATGTGACATAGCATCAAATCTGCTTAATCTCGTACCATTTTTTTAAAGTATCAAGGATATTCTTGGTGTAGCTGATCATCATGTTTCGAGTCACTGAACCTAAAAAATAACAAATATCAATAAATAGAATTCGGAATTTATTCTAAAAATATTTTTCTTTGGGAATTATATAGGATTTCTCGTTAATATACTGACAAACTTTTAAAGGTGGTAGGTGCATCAAAATAAACATTTTTTTGCTTAATAAAATAAAAATAATTTTATTGT